GAGGAGAGTTCTCTGATAATGTATCTGCTGTCGCCATGTGTCGGTGTCAGTGTCTTTGCTGAGCATCCGTATTAATAGGTCAAATGCACAGGACAGACAGATTTAAGGCAGGTAAGCGCCCAATGATTCACACCCACCTGACGGGAGCTGGTCTTTACTCTAAGTTACTCAGCATATGACGTGTGTTTCAGCTCAGAACCGTGAAGAGTGACGTAGTTGGTTTTCCGCCCGTTATCGGCTGTAGGATGGTTGAGCTGATCAGTATTAACGAGGGACAGACACTTTTACCAGAACTCAGACGTTGCCCAACAAAGAAAAGGTAAGAAAAGTAATAAAAAGCAACTTGTCTCAGTTCATATGATTGTACTCTGGAGAACTGAGGCTGAAAGCATTGTGTGGTTTTTGTTTTTTGTTTTTTATATAAAGAGGTTAAATTACTTCGTAATAACTTTCTACATATATAATAAATGTGTGTTTTGGCTTTGAAATAAGCAGTAGTACATGAGCCAGAGTAAAGACAGTTTTGAAGTTCATAACCCAGACACAATACAGAAAGTGTGTGTCATTGCCCGTGGTTCTGAAATATGGAGTCCGAGGAGTGCAACGCGGAAAAGCTATATAGTAAAATAATGTTACTTCTTGTCATAGTTTGATTTTACGAAATATGTTTTTACTGATGAAAGATGTAAGTTCTGTTTCATCACATTTAAGGAAGATATTTTAATGGCTTACTCTATTTTATTTGGCTTTCCTTAATTTCCATTGCTCTTTTTCCTTGTGGAATGGGAAATGAAGCTATTTTTATTTGCTATTAACCGTTTCAGCTTTTTCTGTAACTTTAGGGTATTTTAATGTTTTAACCTTAATTCACATCGTATTTTTACTTTGAGTAGCTTTCTAACCGACGTATCAAATAACGGGTGAAGATCTACTGTATTCAGAAAAAGGGAAATGATAGAAAAGGAAAGGAAAGAAAAGGAAAGAAAATGAAAATGAGAGATAACTAAATCAAAATCGAACATCCTTATTATGATCGTTTGACATAGTTGAACACAGTTGTATTTGTTATTATGAAATTGCTCCATTCCCACAGTTGGTTAGTCATTTCATTGTTGTTGTCAAAGGCTGAATGCAGTTAAGCTACATCCCCACACGGGGACACTGTAGACCATGACATCTCGACGCTTTTTCATGAGCAGTAAGACTCCTCCCAGAAACAGGATGATGATGATGATGATTCTCTGGGCTTTGTTACAAAGAGACGCACGGTGAGAGAGAAAAGGGTGAAAAACAGTTCCCAGCTGGCTGATAACAATGCAAGAAACTGGAATCGCGTACATGACTTTTAATATGACTGTTTGACGGGAGTGGTTGGACAGGGATTTGTGCCTTTTTTCGGGTTGGATATTATCATGTATTCCTCAAACAGAACGATCCTTTGTCGGATATATCTTGTGGCCGTGCTGCTGAATTATTGCTGGGAAGCGGTGTCTGGACAGCTCTCCTATTCCGTATCAGAGGAGGTAAACCCGGGGACTTCTGTTGGAAATATCGCCAAGGATTTAAGTCTTAGTGTCCAGGATTTAGAGTCTCGTATGTTTCAGGTTGTTAGTGGTTCAAATAGAAAATATTTCGATGTGAATCTGAAAACTGGTGTCCTTTATGTCAATGAAAGAATAGACCGGGAAGAGCTCTGTGCGAAGGCTACAAAGTGTACTGTCAATGTAGAGGCCGTGATCAACAATCCACTGAAGCTTTACCGTTTAGAAATAACTGTAACAGATATAAATGATAATGCACCAGTTTTCTCTGAGCAGTTGCAGTCACTCGATATTGCAGAAAATACGTTACCAGGAGTGAAATTTGGACTGATAGAGGCATCGGATTTGGATGTTGGCAGGAACGGTGTAAATACATATAAGCTTAGTAATAATGATTATTTTTCTTTGGAAATTCACAAAGGGGGAGATAGCGTGTCAGCCGAGTTAGTACTGAAAAAATCTTTAGACCGCGAGCAGGACTCTGTTATAAAACTCACACTGACTGCAGTAGATGGAGGAAACCCGTCCAAATCGGGAACCTCACAAATTATTATCAATGTTTTGGATATAAACGACAACCATCCTGTTTTCAGTAGATCTTTATACAAAATTCAAATTGTTGAAAACTTGCCAAGAGGGTCTACTGTGATGATTCTGAATGCAACAGACGCAGACGAGGGTTTAAACAGTGAAATAGAATATTCATTGAGGAAAAAAGGACAGGATCGAGTTTTAGATTTATTTGAAATTGACTCCAAAACCGGTGCAATTTTAGTCAAAGGCAACATCGACTATGAGGAAAATCCTGCCTTTGAGATTCACGCACAGGCCAGTGACAAAGGCCAGCCTCCGATGTCTGCTCATTGTAAGGTGCTGGTGGAGGTGGTGGACCTGAACGACAACGCTCCTGAGATCACTGTGACGTCTCTACTAAACACAGTAAAGGAGGATGCAGAAGTAGGTACTGCTATTGCACTTGTTTCTGTGTTGGACAAAGATGGAGGGAAAAACGGGTTAGTTAAAGCTGTTATTGAAAATGATGCACCCTTTAAATTGGACACAAATTACAAAAACTATTATTCGTTAGTAGTTAATGGTCCGCTTGACAGAGAGACTCGGGCGCAGTACAGTGTCACTATTGTGGCAACTGATGAAGGGACTCCACCTCTCTCCAGCACCAGCATAGTGACTGTTCATGTTTCTGATGTCAATGACAACCCGCCTCGCTTCTCCGAGCCGCTGGTTAATATTTATGTGAAAGAGAACAGTCCAGTTGGAGCAGTTATTAAAACTGTCACTGCAGTTGATGCTGACATCGATCAAAATGGTCAGGTGAGCTATTCATTCTTACAAAACAACAGTAATTTATTACCACTGTCAACAATGATAAACATCAACTCAGAGATTTTATAGTCAGCTGCAGTCTTTAACTATGGAGTTAAAAACGTTTCAGTTTAAAGTTAGCCACAGACTCTGGTGTTCCTCCCTTCAGCAGCACGTGACTGTAACTTTTTGATTCTGGATAAAATGAAATAATCAAGCGATTCTCGCCCTAATTCTGAGCACGGCTCCGTTAACAGTGAAAGCATGCCCCTATTCTGCTGAAGCGGGATACTTGTGCAAGATCAGGCTGTGACCAGATCTGGATACAATGCGCCTGCTTTCTTATCACCTGTCTGAGCCAAAGGAACAATCTCTTCCGCATCGAACCAGCACCGGAGAGATCCGACTAAGAGAGAATGAGTGACAATGACCTGAAAGCTCACCTTGGTGTTTTGGTTTCTGATAACGAGAACCTCCTGTCAGCTCTGTGTCTATTGATGTGGTGTGGTTGAAAGCACAGCTGACATCCAGACTCTCGTCAGACATGGCCCATAAGGAGGAGAGCTTCTCTGATTTAAACCTGTATCTGCTGATTCCTTGTGTCGTCAGTGATCTTCTGCTGAGCCTCATCGTTTAATATGTCAAATGCCACAGACAGACAGTTCAGCCAGGTACAGCGCCCAATGATCACACCCACCCTGACGGGAGCTGGTCTTACTCTAATCTACTCAGCAGTATGACGTGTTTTCAGCTCAGACACGTGAAGAGTGACGTAGTAGTTTCCCGCCCGTTTCGCCTGTAGATGGTGAACTATCAGTATTAACGAGGAGACACTTTTACCAGCGTCAGACGTTCCCAACAAAGAGAAGGTGATAAGAGTAAGCACAATGACCTGGGATGTGTAGTTAGTATGACACTTCTGTCAGAATTGGGCGGAACTTGAGGCATATTTCCAAAGAAGCCCTTGCATATGTCAAATAGATTATAAGACTTTCATGTTAAATAACTTTGATTCAAATAAAAATGTAAATTTTGTGTACACCTGTGGTATGTCTAATTTCAGTCCCATGTATTCTTCCTGCGATTTTTGCGTTATTTATGTTTTAAATCGCATCCATGGTGCTGAACGCAGTTTCTGATTATGTGTTTTTCTAAACACAGAAAAGAAAAAGGTGCGAATTGATGAAAACAAAAAAACGTTGAAATTGCCTCATTGAAAACATGTCTCCCTAGAAATTACATTTATAGAGTAGATTTTATTCCTCTCATAATTCATTTATGATACAAATAGATTTTAATTCAGCACTTGACAATTGAGTATGTAGTTTTGCCTTGATTTGATTATGTTTCCTTTCCCTAAAATTTATTTTTGCGTAAAGTGTTATTTTGTTTGTTGTACTTACTTAACTTAAACCATTTTCCTGGATATAATAATATATTATCGCCGATGGGTCAAATGTGACCTTTCAAAATATATATTTACAAAAACAACGATTAGATAGGATCGTGATGATAACATACAGCGTTATGATACCTCTTCCTAGAATGAATTACTTTGCTGATGTGAAAAGAATGGAAGAAATTTAAAGTCTTGCAATATTAATCTGTGATTATCTCCAATTGTCCACACGAGGACATGTAGACCATTGCAATTTGTATGCTTCCTCTTTAGTGGCTCGGGCTTCCCTCCCAGATCCAAACGAATGATTTCTCAAGCGATTGAAACAAAGAGATCTTAAGGTGAATAGACGTGCTAACGACCATTATCTTTCTTGCGTTGTGTAAATATGTCATACGGATTTTTGACCGGTCGGATTTTCTGTTTAATCATGATTAATGAGGATATTGACCGATTCTTGTAATTATTGCCTTTTTGTCAGGTTGATATAATGCATTTTCTGGCAGAAGAGAGCTCTGTTATATATCATCTTGCGTGCTGGATGTGCGGATTCCGCTACTTGTGCGTCCTTCTGCGATTGCTCTCTTCCAACTACTATCCCTTCTGTCGTCATCCTGTTCTGCCTTATACTCATACTCGTTCGCGGACCGAGTAATCCCCCCCTCACCTGCGCCCGCAGACCACCCTCCCAGTAATCCTTCTCACATGCACTGACACTATGAGATAGTTGTCCCCTCAAATTGCTTCTTCTTCTCTTAGATCGCGTCGCGATATTGTCATTTTTCCTTATTTTCCTCGCGCCGACCTGCCCGGCTGGTTCTCCCGGTTCACCAATCCTATTTTGTATACTATTGTCTTACCCTCTATAGATTATTCGGGTGGCCGCACCCAGGTCCATGTTCTGTCTTTCCAGTTTGTTTTCTCTTAAATCGGTTATCTCCTCACCTTCTTCGTGTTTCACCAGAGATTCAATCCACTCGCCACCTTGCAAAATCCTCCTGAGACTTTTTTTCTCCTTTGGCCACATGACCACCCATATCTTTTTGTACCACCTTCCTTCTTATACCGCCTAACATAACTTCTTTTTTCAATCCTAGCAACCACTGTTCCGATCCTGCCCTTCCTGTTCTTGTACGCTCTTGCTTCTCCCAGCCCAACCACACACCAGCTACACAGGCCTCTACATATCCATCCAGCTCTTACCGTCCCTTATGTCAATTCCTCTCCCTGCCCTGGTTTTTTCCCCCGGCCAATGAATTTATTTCATGTCCCTAACCAGATTTCACAGTACGCCTCCGTTTGCTGCGCTATGTGGATAGTCATCCCTGTTTTTGAGCCCCTCCGCCTTTCATAACCATGTTCAGGTGTGTCAGCTGCGCCGGCCCGCGCCCTCTTAGTTTAATTTGCTCTCCATTTACTTGGCTGCCTCCCGTTTCTGACCACCTCACACCTTCTCTTCTTATCTGCCTCACACCTCTTTTTGATTTTATCCTTTGCCCCGCGTCCTAAACTCTTGTACCCCCTCGTGTATTTTTTCCTTGTCTTCCCTCCCCTGCGTTTGTTCCTGTTGCCCAGCGCCTTGTGGCCCCGCCCCACCCACTCACCCCCCGCCCTCCCAACTTTCTCATGTCTAAACTTTACACTTATCTTTGACTGCCTTCGTCCATTACAGAGTATTCCTTCCCTGCCTTACCCCTTGCTCTGCCCGCAACCCGGTGTATCGGCGCCGACGGTAAAAATAGCGCAGGACCGGCTCCTGTTGGTGTTCCCCTTATCCTCCTCTCCTCCTTCGCTTTTTACCTTCTGGGCCCTATGCATCCATCTTATCGAATCATATCCTTTACTCTTAATATTTAAAAACAAACAACACTAACAATTAAAAGAAAAATAAATTTTCACTAACTAAAAATATTCAAAAGCCCCAATCCCCCCAAAACTTTTACACCTCAAATTCCCCCTAGTTACTACCTACCCTTACAATTATACTCCTCACCTTTACTCATTATAATGACTCCGTTCCTGGGCCTGCATCAGGACCAGACCCTACCCCACTCTTTCCATCCAAACCCACATCTCTTACTCACCGTTCCTGTAATACCAAAAGTCTTCCCCCCTTTTCCCTTTTGAGACCTCCCGAATTTTCCCTAAAAATCTCTTATTGCCTTTTCCTTCACATATACATACCAATTCAAATTTTTATCGCGTTCTGGCGCTTGTGTGGCTTAAAAAAACCAATTTATACCAGCACCATGTAGCCGCCCACCGTGGCTCTTAGGTCCGAGGCGCTGGCCTTTAGGCTCCCCCACGCCTCGGGCGACGACCCACCCTTAACCACACCTTTAGCCAGCCCCACCTTGCAGCCTAAGTTATCCCCCAAATCTGCCTCCTTAATCTATTCAACCCTGGCAACTGCCCAACAACCCGGACCCACTTTTCCCATACATACTTCTCTTATCTTTCGCTCCCACCAGCCCCCTTAATAAATGAAACCCGCTCCCCCCCCCCCCCCGCCCCCCCCATCGGTGTCTCTATATTTCTGGGTCGCCAGCGTCCCCCGCTCAATTCTGTTTCTTATGTACCACCTTATTACCAGAGATTAGATACTACGCAGCCTCCATCTGAGAAAGCCATAGCGGTGTTGTGTATCTTATTTTAGAATGCTTAGTTCTGTTCTAAGTAGTTATGTATAATTTTCATCTTTCACTCTATAGAGTCCGTTGGGGCCTGCGGGGCTAGGAAAAAAAACAAACGTCAAATAAGGTCCATGTACTTCAAATTTACGTAAGAACCAAATTACAGAGTAAT